GGACACCCATCATTATTTTTAAAAAAAAGAAAATTTAAAAAGAAGAGAAACTAAAGAGCTTTCACCCCTTGAGGGCAAGACCCTATCTAATCTTCTGCCACAGCAACTTTCACTAGAATAGTCAAACATTTACATCCACACCATTGTCACCCTCTTCTCCATCATTACTCCTCTCTGTAGTTTTTTTGGGGAGGAAGAAATTCTTAAAGAAGAAAAAGAAAACAAAAATCTGCTTATAGAAAGAGTTGCTTACGATGTATGTGTGAATAGTGTAAAAGAAACAGATTGACTATCTGATATCATCATCACTGGGTAGCTGCAACAACTACTACTTCGACTCGGCCCACTTGCCTGCAGTCTAATCTCTCTCTATCTCTTCTTTTCTTTTTTGTTTACAACAGTGGTGCATCTGATGAAAGAAGATTCTTATGTTTTTTTCGTCTATTGCCAATGGAGCTAAATTACCGAGCCAGGGTCTCTTGGGAATAGTTTCTCTATTTTCGAATATGGGAAAGGTCTGCATACACATACCTTTCCCAGACCATACTCTTTGTGGGATTATACTGGGTTGTTGATGCTGTTTCACCAATGGGGCTAAAAAAGATGGTGCGGCTTATGAAATTAATTAATCAGTTCAAACTTGGCATCTGTTGCGAATGGAGCTAAAAGACTCAATTTTGCCAATGTTGTAGCTTCTTCTGGTAAATGACGGACTACACAAAAAATGGCACATTACACTGCTCTTGATCCATACTTCCTATGAGGCTATGAGCAGCAAATTTAGCAATGCATCAAATGTCTAACAGAAACATCTTTTTGTTCTTATAGGGCAAAAGTTATGTATATCTTCCCACCTCCAAGCACCACTGGAGTTGGAATTAGGCTGAGTTTATTGTTGTTTCCGATGTGGTAATCATTTCAAAGATAACTCAAATGCCAGTGATCACAGAACTTAGTACTTGCCATTCTGATCTGATGAACTATTAATGGTTAACTTAGATTTCATGAAGCCAAATTTGGGGAAAAAATAAAATATGAAGGAATCCTTTTGGAACAGCCCAATTTCTTCAAAACATGTTTCATTTCTATATAGTCAATTAAAAATTATTTTGATCTTTTGAGGTTTCCAGCTTTACAGATTACCAGATTCTCAGACTAGAGATGGAAACGGGGCGGATCTGGATCTGTTATACATATGATACTGACCGCCCCGCCCCATTGACTAAAATGTCTGCCGCCATTCGAAACCGGATCGAGGCTTCTGTTCCCATTTCAGAATTCATATTCAGTGGATTCATACTCGAGAATGGAATCAAATTAAGAAGAAGAGAGAACCGACCTGGAGAATGGATTTTGCAATTTGTTAATCAAAGAGCTTAATCGATCTTCTTCGTCTCAGTCGGATCGTCCTCTTCGCCGTCGGATTATCTTGGTTGAGTCGCCGGCATCGTGGCGCGCCAGCTGTATGTGACTTGAGTTGGGATGGGCGAGTTTTTTTGTTGAGTTTAGATAGGTCGTGTAGCCATTAGCCCATTAGACAAGACCCATGATCTTTAGAAAATTAGGCCTTTTTCATTCAAATTTGATTTGATTGGAATAAGTTCATACCTGATACGATTTAATTGTATTTATATTTAAATTTTTTAACCAAAAATGCATATTTTTATTCACAAAGACAGTACGTTATACTCCCTCCGTCCCAGAGTATTTGTCCACTTTCATTTTTAGACACCATCCAATACACTTCTTTAATCCATTTTATCTTATAATTTGTATATTAAAAAATTATAGAAATTATATATTAATAATCTATATGTTAAGACAAATCAAACAAGATCACACATGACAATATTTAGGCTTACACATTGAGAGAATTTGATGAGTCAAAGTGCTTAGATGAACAGTTCCAAAAGTCAAAACTGGACGAATATAGCGGGACGGAGGTAGTAAATCAATAATAGGAAACGTTCAAACTTTATAATTCTTCTATTCTCATATAAACGTAGTACATTGAAATTAATAATATTAACTCTCTTTCAATGTGGACTATTTTATTAATGTTTTTTTCAGTTTTTTGCTCTCCAAATATAATAGCATGTGGTAATCCATTTAGCTAACACTTCTAGGTGTTTCCTTCTTGGAGATATCTTCATAATGCACTGTATTGTACTAATCATACCATCTCCCTTAAAACTGATCTTCATCCAGGTAAAGATTTCCTTCAATACCTCTAGGGCAAAATCACGTTTGCAGAAGAGGTGTGTGGTATCCTCCTCCCCCTTTTGATAAAAATAACAATTTGTCTCCACTTTCATAAGCTTCGCTAGTCGTGCCTTAGTCTGGATTCTATTTCGCATGATTAATCACATTACAAATTGACATTTAGACATTGTAAGTCTAGTCCAAAATCAGTCAATCCAAAATAGTTTATGATAGGTACCTATCATCCATTCATATCCCTGCTGTAATTATAGCAATGAACTCTAGACATGCTTACAAATAAGTTTCTTACCTTGATCATCTGTTTTCAGTAATGGCACTTGTAGGGTTTGGGGAAGTATCCCCAAAAGTCATAATTCTTGATTTATCTTAAGTGAACCCATTGAACCAAAGAATATCTTTTTATAATGGATATCCCAGTTCAATTTCATGATTGTAGCTTTATTCCATATAGCCATATTTCTTTGTCCTAACCCACCAAACTTCTTTGGCATACAAATATCTTCTCAGCTTACTAGATGGTCTTTTTATATTCTCGTGTTGAATTCCAAAGGAAATTTCTGTAAATAACTTGTACTTTCTTCATCACTTTTGTAGGAAGCAAGAAAATCCTAGCCTAAAAAGTTAAGATCCCCATCAAAACTTCATAAACCAATCTCACTCTCCGAGCATAAGTGAGATGCTTTGAACTCTTGGATGGAATTCTAGCTGTGAGTTTCTAAACTAGCTTGTCACAGTCATTGCTGATGAAATAGGGCTCCCTAGGTAAGTAAAAGACAGCTTGCCTTTTATCATCTGAGTAAGGTCCAATATTCTTCTTTGAGTTAAATATATTTTTGTTCTCTGTGAAGTTAGCGGTTTTTTCTTTTAGTCCTCTAAAATATTGTTTTATCAAAATATCTCTGTAAAATATTTGTTTTTACAAATGACCCTCCCACCAACTTCAAGTGTGTTCAATTCGACTTATTCTTATTACTTATTATTTATTCGGATTGAAATCGGATTTGATGGGTGTATTCCACCCAGGACCGGTCAAAGGAAAGGACTAAATAAGTTGACCGGTCAAGTCGACCAAACGGGAAAGGGAGACCTAAAATCGCCAGTAAAAGGGTGTTCGACCAAAAGCTTGACCGGTATACTTCAGATAGTATACCGGTCAAAGTGCATCATTGCCTCGTTCATTCTGATTTTCAATAAACTCATCCCTCAGGAATCACCCGGTATGGTCTCTAGGGTTGGAAAGTGTCGGCAGAAGAGAATCTAAAAGGGGTTGGCGTGTAGCGACCCATGTCAGTGGAGGATTGCTGGAGATGCTTGAGAAATCCATCCAAGGCACTACTTGACAAAGGGAATAATTCCCCTTGCAAGGCGACAAGGCTGCTCAAGGACGAAACCAGTCACCTCGCACCACACCAGCAGCGTGCCCCCCACGTGGGCGCACGTGGTCCTGTCCCCCCGAACCTAGTATAAATATGGTTGTAACTCTCAGAAGTAGGGATCCGAATTCATTCTCTCTAAGCTCCCTTGTAAAAGCACCCGTGCATTCTCTGTTGTAATATAAATTGGGCTACAGGTGTTCCACCTAAAGTCCTACCGGTCACTCTCCGTGTTTTTACCTTTATTACTTTACCAAATCAAGCAAACTATTCTAGACCCGGTCTAGTATAGTTTGACCGGTCAAGTAATTTACACCATCAGGATTAAATCAGAACAAATTAGATTAGAAACAACTTTTAATATAACTATATTCAAATCAAACCTGACTAGATCAAAATTTATTTCAATCAGATCAGAACCTATCCGTTCAGATGAAGAGAATAAAGCCTTAGAGTTAATTTGGTAGGGTTTAAAAAGACAAAAAATCACTTTAGATTTAAAATATTTTAGAGGGATAAAAAACAAAATTACTAATTTTCTAGGGACTAAAAAAGTTCAATGTTAACTCTAAGGTTAATATAAATAATGAAAGAACTACTTACAAAATAAATTATTTTCCAAGAATGTCTTAATAAAAAATATTTTGGAGAGACTAAAAGCAAAAAATCATTAATTTAAAAAAAATATTTAATCCTAAAAATTGAGTAAATTCAGAGAATGATATTTAATAACTACGTGTTTTCCCAAATTAGTCCTCGAAACTAACTAATTTTTGAAATGCTACTCAGTAATTCTGAATAAAGCTCAGTTAAGTCCCTGACTAACGGCTGTTAAAACGACGTTAAATCTTATACTACTTTCTGAAAATGGTACTTTCAAATTGAGTATTTTCTAAAATTGGTCCATTTTCAAAGTAAAATTACATTAATTATGAAAAAATATTTTAAATGTTATAAGATGATAATATAATACTAAAAACTATAGATATAATTTTTAAAATTTGAAAGAGACATTTTTTATTATTTACAATTATTTAAAAGAATAGCATGTAAACAAAATATTTAATAAACCTTGAAGAAAATACCCTAATCAGAAGAAGGTGTGTATAATTTGGGTAGTATTAGGAATTCATATTGCCCGCATGGGTAGCTCACTTGGTCAAGAGCGTGAAATCTTGGACCGATGACCAGGGATCGAGTCCCGCAAGCGGCAGTGTGGGAGCTATCCAAAAATCCCATAAAGGGTGAGGAGGCTCCTTGTGCGCGGTGGGCACGGGTCTAGCGTTCTTGGCCGACTGAGTCACCATGATTTACATCCTCCACCATTCCTGTTGGGCAAGGGGGTGGGGGGCCTGTGGGCTATTCCACCTTTTGTACCGAGGAATTCATATTTTTTTTGGGATCCAGTATGGTCAGTTGGTGATTCTCAGTAAGCTCTGCTTCTCATCGGATCCTTCGTCAATTATTGTGCTAAATCTGCGAAAGCATGGCCCGTCTTTCCTCTACCAGTCCGTGATCCAATTGAGTTCCTTTTCCTCTGTGTAGGAAAACCCTAATTTCATTCCTGTTATAACTTAGAAGCTAAAGGAGCTATGGAGCCTTGTGTTGGTTAGAATCAAATATATCAAACTTGTTGAATAATGTCCTTATTTGTATGCATTCATTTTTTTTCTATTTGGAATTGTAAGTTAATTCTCAAAGATTGTTTCTTTTTACACTTTAGGTTTGTGAAACCCTACTTTTGAGATTATAAAAACTATTATTTTCTGCAGGTGGACTTCTGAAGTGTTGTGTTTGGGACTTCGGATTAGGGTTGTTATAACTTATTCCCAAAATAGCTGAACTGGTGTTATATGTGATGGGTGAAAATGTGTTGGATAATATATTAATGGACCTTGATTTGAACCAAGAACCTCCGGACCCGCCTCCCGATTCAGTCTTAGGATTCAGATCTATCTTAAACACTTTGGAGAGTGCCCACAGTCGGATAGAGGAGAGAATCCGACATCTTGAATCCGTGACGGCCCGAGCTTGGGAACGCCATAGGTTGCGCCGCACTCAAAATTTTTCAGATACTTTTGATGGACAAATTGGTAATTCTGCTGTTGTGGGTGTGAGTTCTGGTGGTGGGAGAGGACACAAAAGGGACAACAGCCATTTGGTGGCAAAGGCATTGGCTATGGATTCTAATGCGAAGAAGGGTCACAAGGATGGTGCAACCTTTTTTGATTGTAACGTATGCTTAACCACGGCGCGGGAGCCTGTTTTGACTTGTTGTGGTCATTTGTACTGTTGGTCGTGCTTTTTTCAGTTGCCATATGTTGATTCTATGGTCAAGGAGTGTCCCGTTTGCATGGGAGATGTTTCAGATGGTAAGATCATTCCTATCTATTGTAATGGCATCAGTAACTGTGGGACAAAGCCAGAGTCTGGTCCAAAGATACCACCAAGACCAAAAGCGCATCGAGTAGAAAGTGTTAGACAGCAACATCTGGCAAGGGGCTTATCTCATATTCCAGTGGCGGAAGCACTAAGGCGAATCAGGGCCAGTATTGGAATGCTGGAGCCACTAAATCCGCTAGAGCAAATTGGCATTAATGTGGATGTTGCTACTACACCTTCTCAGCCTCAGGAGCTCCCAAATGGAGGTGACAGCCGCCGTGTACGTTCCCGTGAGTTCTCAAGGGTATTATCGGAAAGTGCTGCTTCTCTGTCTTCAGAACTAGATAACGCGCAACGCATATTTGAGGACCTTGCTGCATCAATTTCTGACCGCTTATCACAAAGGGACGGCGCTCAAGATTCATCGACAGCTGGCGACTCTTTTGTAAGAGAAAATAACGGTGCACGACTGGAGCACCAAATTCTGGAAACCCCAACTGAGATAAGTTCTTCTGCATCTATTCCTCCCTCATCTCGCGGAAATGAAGATTCCGATGCTGTTGTACAATTGGTAAACCTGATACCCACCACAAGTGGTGAAAGGGATCAGCCCTTTACTCGTTCTTCTTCATCTTCCAGGATAAGGTTTTCTTTGTTCAGATTTTCAGATGTCAATAATGATGGTTCTGACCGTGAAACTAGAAGAAGATTGAACTGACGACTTCTAACTAATAAGGTAAAACTTTTACATTGCTCAATTGATACTTGCACAGCCATGTTGATCAGTCTCTTCGGGTATGTTTGGATGGAGTGTTTTGCTGGGAAAATCTTTTTGTAGGTATTATTATATACTCTTTCCATCCCAAATTAATCCTCCAAGTTTGACTTTGCACGGGGTTTAAGAAAAGTAAAATTGTGTGGTTGAAAGTGATGCAGAGGAGAGAGAAAAGAAGTGCCACAAAAAACTTTCTGAAGAAGGAAAGAGGAAGATTAATTTGGAACATCCCATATAGGAAATAAGGAGAATTAATTTGGGACGGAGGGAGTGTCTTAAAAAATGTAGTGTTTCGTAGGATGAATAAATGGTGTTTGAAATATTACTTTATTACAAAGTATATATTTTGTTACTCGTTCTATAAACTTTCTTGTAACATATCAAATACTTATCAGGTTAGAAGAAAATTGTTGATTTGCTCACATTTGCCCGATTTAGTGATTGGTCACTATGGCGGAATTTGTGATCTATGGGTTCTTCAACAAGTGTTAACCATGCAAAGTGCAAGTCGGTTGTAACTTGTAAGCTTGTAAAGAGGTTATATTTTTCCTGTCATTGAGCATGTTTACAGGCTGAAATATAGTGTTGACAAATGTTACGAAAGTTTTCAAGGGTACCCTGACTTTCCTTGTATCATCAAAATGAAGATGCAGCTCACCCATAAGCATTTTTGTTTCAATTTATTCATTCTCATCAATTTCATGGATTTAAAAGTCACGCATCTCGGGTAGAGTCTTCTACTCCATTTTGCGTGGTTTTAATGGGAAAGTCACCCGAGTTGAGAGATCCATGGGTGATATTAATCGCATATTACTTGTTTGAGAAGAAATATCTGGAGTTAGTCAAATTGATCAAGCTTTAGTTTTTATTTTTAGGATGACTGTTAAAAATAGATTCCTTTAGTATCCATTTTTTTCGCAAAATGATGTTCACTGTTAATGTTTTTTCCAGGGTGCTTTCTAGTTGATTTCATCTGATAGCCTAGGAAATAGAAAGTCTGAAATTTGTGATAATTTTTTTTCTGCAATGTTGGTTTTGTTGGCTTATATAAAGTTTCATTCTTGCTATCAAGAATCAATATATGATACTCTCATTTGGGAACTCAAAAGTTTTTGTTAAACATGTGAATATACTCCATTTATGTTTGCTTTTTGAAAATAAAAAACTACTAGTGCTTAATAAATTTGATTTAACTCCAGATATTCTCTCGCAAACAAGTAATTTTTGATCAATATCGTTCATGGATCCCCCAACTTGAGTAGCTCTCTCATAGCATTTGGGCAAAGTGAAGTCGCACAGCTTTGCGCCGTTGATCAAACAACCCTATCAAAGTGTCTATTTGAGTACTTTCGGAACTACTAGCAACACCTAGAATGCATGACACTTCAACAACGAAAGGTATGTATTGCCCTTACCCACACACGCTCGTCCCCATGCCCCTCAATTTGGTAAATGAAAAAAAAATTGGACACTGTGTTCGACACGCCACATAACGTGTCATTGATGTGTCGAACACTTTCAACCTCAAATCGAACAAATGAAATCACTCGTCTATCTTAAAATGGTGCACGTATTGTGTTTGTGCCCTCAGTGTTAACACACACTTGCAGTCGTTAGCGTTCTCATTTTTTGCCACCTTAGGAGAATTGGGATGGAATCAAATGATATTTTACATGCATTTCATTTAACGGGTTTCAAATACACGTTATTAATCGTAGTTCCATTTTTCATTGTAATATATTTTGAATATATAAATTAATAAATTTGTAAATTCTCCCTCCATCGGATATCTTTCTTCTCTTTTTGTCTTTTGTGATCAACGTTGTTAAACTGTAACCATAAATTACAATAATTATACATTGTATTAATTGTGATGTAAATTTAATATCAATAGATTCATTTCTAAAATGTAGTTTTGAATTATCATATTTTTATAATCTATTGCATTGTAGACCATGAAAAGTAAAGAAAGATATGAGATAGAGGGAGTAATTATCTTGTAATATGGTTTTCATACTTTAGATTATAAACCAAATGTACTCTCTCCGTCCCATAATTGTGGTCACACTATGGAACATGGAGATTTTTTTTAATAAAAAAGAAATAGGTCAATTAGAAAAACAAAACATCTATTTTTTTATGGATCCCATTACATTGGGGGCACCAATGAGGTCATCACCACTAGTTGTGAAATCCAATAAATAAATAATAAATGTAAATATTTACTCTCTCCATTCCTATTTAATTGTATGGTTCACTTTTCAAACCTAATGTTTGACCTAAAATATATCTTAAAATATATTAACATAGAATAATTTAAAAAAATTTATACCAATATTTTGATATATTTTTTATATTTTTATATATTGTTAGTCAAATGTTTGGTACATAAAACAAATCAGACAGTTACGGAGGAATGAAGGGAGTAGAAAATATGTGGAGAGATGTATCGGACTCCTCGGGTGGTACGATGCAAACCAAAAACTTTTATTAATATCTCAGAGAGCTTACACAGTACAAGAATATGCTTTAATTTCAATTCAAAGCTACGTTTATTCTATTTTAGTCCATGTGACATTCTTCTATTAAGCTAAGAGTGGGTTTTCTAAAGGCTTCAAATGGGAGGTCTGTAGTTTCATGGTGAATGAAACTATAGCTCCCAGAAGTGCGGCTATTCCCGGGATGAACCCCAACGAAAATCGGGTCACAGAGAAACAAGCATGTGTTGGATCACATGGTACTGGATCTGCATCTGCATAAATGCAAGTTATTAAGAGCCAGATTAAAAAAAATTGAAGTTAAATTGATCCCAATGTGCCTCTAATCTTTTTGTTTTCCTTCACACAAACATGCACAAGAGGCACTTGAGTGCCTGAGTTCGTGTTTGTGTAAATGAAAAAAATGGGGAGGACAAGCATACGTGGGACAATGTAGTTCAACTCTAAATGTAGAATTATGAGGTTTTTACCCAAAATCAATTCACAATGACACGAGTAATTGATATTCTTATGCACAGTATTAGTCTTTTTTTAGTTTGGATGTTTGATGTGAGACTATGAGCTTGTTCTCTTCAACTTATTACTTAATTATTATTCTTATCGAAACCATACCAAATCAGGTCAGAAACAACTTTGAATATAACTCCAACCAGATCAGAATTTATTCCAATCAGATCAAGTCAAGAGAACAAGCCCTATATCCTCTACATTTCCCTTCAAGTGCAACTTGTGTTTTTTGGTCTCACAATGTCACTTGTTCCAATAGACTTGGATTTCATGCTTGAGCTCCCAAGTCTTGATATTTAAACCCAAAACCAATCGACAATAAGAGGAATAACTTATACCCCGTATTCTAATACTTTGTATACTTTAGTCCTTTTAAATATATATAAGAGCATGAAGCTTGAGAAACTAACCCTCGAATGATTCAAGAAAGTAGAGTGCCACGCCACATAGTACTTTGTCAACAAAGCCCATTGATCCATAGACGAAAGCCGAACCGTCTAGATGTTTGTCCACTAGAGCACTCTCCATGCCTGTCGAAGTCACCTGTTTGTATTCATGAGAAACTTGTAAAATGTAATGCCAGTTGTTTTTTGTTGTGAAAAAATCCCAAATTGGTTATTTAAAATTTCTTTTATTAGGTTTAGGGTTTACCATCATCAAGGAATTGGCAATGCCTATTAGTATTGATAGGGCATACATAAAATGGTTCATGTTCATGGGTAGCCACATCACAATTGCACCACACAATAACCAGAGCAAGCCACCACAGGAGAACAAGGTTTTCAACCTTTTGTTGCTCCACTCAAGTTCCTACACACAAAGAAAAACAACCTAAGTTCTCTTGATCCAAATGTATATCTTCATGTTTGACTTTATCTTTGGGTCAAGATTTATAAACTTGGAATATTAAGTTATGGTATAAACCTAATATCAATAGATTCAAGGCTTGTTTGGGAATAACATTAGAGATAAGCGTTAGCGTTTTGGATAAAAATTTAACGGTGCAGATTACTTTGAAAATGCTAACGCTAACCGATACTCGTAGATAGTCTTTTCAAAACGCTAACGCTATTCTGAAACACGCCCTCAGATTGAAATCGAACTTAAAAATATCATATTTTTATAAGATACTTCATCTGTCCCAAAATAAAAGTCACAGTTGATAAGATAATAAATTTGGTTTGCCCATGACAACCCTAAGGATTGTCGATAAGGTGCATTTATTACATCTTTATTCTCTCGTCTTTTTGGCAAAAAAAGCACATTTATCGGTGCAAAAAATGCACTTTTTAGCACGAAAAAAGAGAGAATGAAGGATAAATGCACCTTCTATCATCAGTCTCTAGAGTGGTCATTGGCAAAATCAAAAATAAAATGTGTAGCTCATTTAATTTAATTTGTTCAATCATCCCCAAGTGTAAAATCAAATAACAATGGCATGAATTCTGATTTCATATATACCAAACCTGTAAAAGGACAGAGGTAGTGAAGCTGCATAAATAAATGATTGCAGGAACCTGTCAATAGTATGGATGAACTATTATTGTATGTAGTTAATCAATGGGGCATCCATTAAATTAAACAATATGGAAAGATTAAATTCCCATTCTATATTTGTATAAATTTCACATTTAATCCACTGCTTTATAAAATTTTATTGGAGGTCCATTATAATTGTGAGAATTGTCATCAAATTCAGTCTTTTTTTTCATCTAAGATCTCCATTATGATACACTAATGGAGGACTAAAAGTAGCAATGTTTCCAAATTTTGAAGGACCTTAGTTGGTATATTTAAAGACAAAGAAGACCAAAGGTGAAAAATATTCGCGATTAATGTGGATCTCCAATGAAATTTCATAAAATAATGGACTAAATGTGAAATATTATTAATTATAAAGGACAATTTACATATTATTTTTTAAAGAAAAAAAAAAAGAAATAAAAGAGACATATATTGTGAATACCAGTGACTTTGAGGATTGGTTCATGCGTAGATCATTGATCACATACACAGCAAGAAATGACTAAAAAAAGAAAAAAAAAATCATCAGTTTTGTGAATTAAAAAAGAAATACGGAGTATTTGCACAATTACGAAACAAATACATTTCCTATTTTTTGCGGGATTTTACTGTGTTTTCTAATTATTGTATATGTGCATAACAAAATGATACGGATTATATACAAACCTGGGATACATTGGTTACAACTCGAGTGAGTACATAAACACTAGCAACTTGATAATACGAAACTTTCTTCAACCAATAAGTCCACGGAGTTTTATTGCGAATTTTCGCACACCCGTCCTTCCTTTTACTGAAAATTGAAAAAAAAATCACCTAAAAGTCTTCAAGAACACCAAATGTGTTCCCTTCTACTGAAAATTTTAGACTCTATTTTAGTATTTAACAGAGGAAAACTTTGTACAAAGTCCTCCAAGTCTATCCCCTTGGGGCTATATGTTTTTTTTGGAACAATTTTGATTGTGTGTGACAAACCTGGGCTCTTTAATCCCAAGGTGGAAGATGATCACAAAGAAACCCCCAATGAGAACCGATACGAATGCCATCCATCGGTACTGCACATAAGTGTCTTAAAATTAAACATTATTGAATTGCCTGCCAGAACAAGAAAATCCTAACCCTAGCGGTTCAAGAAAAGCGACGAGAGAAAGAATCGTAAAAGACGCCCGAAGTATCTACACACCTGAACTTTAGTGTCTTGTGACCCTGGAGATGTGGTAGAGTCACTGAAGATGAAGAATGTGACTGCATACAATATCAGGCTTGCAACCTTTTATCAATGACAAACAGCCAAATCATACCAAACAAGAAAATGTTATCTGCAAATCGCAACGTTTGAAAGATACAAAATCAAATGTCGAAGTGAATTTGGAACCATTGTAAATGCATTGCGACAGCTAACGCACGCGATCCTACTCGACTCATTCAGACTGATGCAATTCACCATTGACCTGCGACATTTAAAAATTGTCACGAAATAACATAAAATAATCATTATTATGATTTGCTTTACTTCACATATTTGGTAGTATTGCTACTTACGCTAAGAACAGAATCAGGGCAGAAGTAGAAGTTTACTTATTTCATATCCCTCTTCTTATATAAAGAAGAGATATGTAGTCTTTGCATTCATCAGAACAATTCAATATACAAAATATTTTCTCCGATTACTATTATTTTATCATAAATCTTGTTAGAAATGTGTTTTTTGCAAGAGAAATTGAAGTGAGGGAAAGGGGATTAGTTATTAATTAATTACATGTGGGAAATCTGAGTACAAGACCAGCCACAGCAGAAGAGAACAGCAAAGAAGCAGTAACCAAGTGTTTGTGCTGTGGTGGAATCCGAGGCCATGATTCTGCAGGGGACACAAGCCCCGCCGAAGAGCGAAGTGAACGAGAGAGCGACCATTACGCACCCCACCCCATGCCATATCTTGAAACGCCCGAACCTATCTATCTGTCGTGAAGAAAAAAAATAAAAAACCACTTCATTTCATTTCATTTCGTTCACGAAATATCGATTCATTCGGAGTTTAATTTCCAAAAACAAATCTGTGAGGGTTCAAAACGAGCCATATGTACCAGTTCGCCAACAATCATGGTTGTGAATGCATCGGCGAATTGACCGGTGAGCGTGACAGTGGCTGCACTACTGCAGAATATATATATGGTAACAACATTTTGAAAGCATTATTCATTGAAATATATAATCAAAGACAAAGTAAAGAGAAATGTGGAATTAAGATATAGTATATGAATAATATATATATATATATATATATATATATATATATATATATATATATATAAATATATATATATATATATATAAATATATATACCTTGGGGGCAATCCAATGTCAGTCAAATAGAGCAAGAGATATGTATACCAGCAAGACTGTGTGATGTCATTGAGCATGTGGCCTACTCCATATGTCAACACTGAACATCTTCTTAGTGGTTTTTCATCCATCCCCTCCTCCCAATCATCACCCCTCATTTTTACTACTAACTGCTTTTAAGAAAGGAAGAGAGAGAGAAAAAGTACTCGTAACGCTTTTGAGAAACGGTGAATCCCATATTTATGTACACCATTTTTGACATCATAGTGTTTACAGACACGCACAAGTAACAATTATTTGTGCAAAAATTGTCTTTGCATATTTGCAAGGCATTATGACATTCTATTAGTGAGGTTCTTTCATTGACTCGTGACTTGTGAGAGAGTAATAATATATACATCTCGATGGCTTCAGCTCGAAGAAGCCGGGTTGTATGTTGCACGGATTCTTCTAACAAGTGCCACTTTCTATCCCTGAGACGTTCCCGTTTTGGTACCTTGGAACGCCCCGACGCCCATTCATAGTAAAATTCGAAAACAATATATGGTATTTTCCCATTTTGGACCCCATCCCCATGTACCCGCCCCGTCTTCGTACAACTTAGGTCGGGTAAAGGGATCAAGAACTTAGAGCATGTCCCTTCCGATCATTTGGTCCAAGGTACCAATCATACTCATTTGGATGATGTCACCATTGGTAATTCTCTCAATACTATTCTTAACCTACTCAGTATTTTTGTTTATAGGTCCAATAAAGATTATATTTTTAACACGCCTTCTCACGAAAAAGCGAAGTTTTTGTTTGCTCTAGCCTTGCACGCGAACATTACTTTCTTAAATCTAAGTGGTGGTAAGGTTCAAATAAAGCATATGTTGAAAACTAAAAGTGGATGATTAAAATTTGTTTGGAACAAAGAAAAGAATTGTGGACTACATATTCTTTAACTTTTTAGAAAAATAAAAGAATTGTGTATGTATTTTGGAGTACCAATACCCTACATCCAAATAGACGATGTTTCCCGTACATCCGCATGAATACTAATTATTGAGTTACTGAACACCCATTTTCGAATAACTATGTACTCATTTTCGAGCACAATCAATTTTTAGAAAAAAAATGAGTATACAGTTGCTCGAAAATGATTATTTAGTTAATCGTAAGTGCAGCGGGACGTCTGTGTGGAGATAAAACATCACGAAAAAACAAAAGAAGAAGAAAATGTACCGGGAGAAACGAATTAAACACGCAAATGGCAGTTATAAAACGCGAAAGTTTAATCAGCTTCTTCTCACTATTACCCTTTCTCTCATTCCTTCATTTCATTTTCAAATTCAAAACGATGGATCGATCAAGCATTATATTTGGTAGTATATGCACTTATAAATTAACCAATTTGCCTAGGGAAACGCAGGCTGGGGGCCTAATAATATTACTACCATTATTACGTATGGGCAATTTCAGCTATTTACAATTTCTTTCACAAATGGGATAACCTTATTCCATGCTTTTTTTTTAATTAAAAAAGACAAAGGTTCAGTAGCCACTACCGTACGGAGCCACTGGCGGCGTTATTCTCTTTTCGGAGCAACTACGATGCTTCATTTTCAAAATCAATGGTTTCTACCCCTAAGACCCCCACGTCCTGCCCCTTTTAAATGTGTGGTCATTAGTCATTTCCCTTATGACCACACGTTTGGAAGGGCAGGAGGCTCGGGATGCAAGAGTGAGGCTGGGGGCACCGAAAAGGCAATGACACCAGTAGTAGCTCTATAAGCCAGTGGCTACAGAACCAGATCTTTTTTTAATGCGGATTGATTCAAAACTGAGTGTAGTATTCAATTAAAAAGACAACTTCAACAGAAAATGATTTTTTTACAGAAATAATCATATCAAGGGAGAAAGAAAAAAAGTAAGACTAAAACATTAAAAATATACCAAAGTAGAATTTCCATGTTTGTATTCCCGAAATATGACTTAAAATGCATTTATATTATCAAACATGATCATGTTCATTGCCAAAAAGTATTGTAATGTGCACATGTACAGTGTCACATTACAACCACATTACCACATTATAAAATCCTATTTCGAAAAAAAAGCACGAAAGTCCTATTTTGGTGTTTTTCTCTATGTTTTAATTCTATTTAGGGTGATTAAGTGAATTCTATCATATCAACTCAACATGTGAATGAAAAATTACAAATGTGCTTTGAAAAAGAATAGGGACAACTCAAACATGGAGAGGAAATTAGACTGAGAAGGTAATTAATTAATACAAAGGATGACTGTTTCAACTTGAAGAAACAGGACCACCCCATTTTTTGTCTCCTACAATAATTGCCTCTTGGGAGACACACACACACACACATTTACAAAGAAAGAAAGGTGAAACTTTCCACCATTTTAACCATAAAGATGATGAATCACATCATCTTCTCTAATCTACCCTACCCCTAAAAGAATGAGTTTTTCAGGGGCAAAACCAAAGACAACCTCCCATGTTTTTGTTTTTCTCTTTTGGCACACCAGAAATGTACCTAGAATTCGTCGTACCGGTTAAGGACAATTGTCGTTCCTACCCGGGCCACCATAGAAGAAGTAATGCCCCCAGTCATCGTTTTTCCCAAGCTCCACATTGTAGCAGTTGTCGTCTTCCGTGAAAACTCCGAGGTCCTGAGGGGCTCTCAGGTTATTCGCCCCGTCCACGACCTGTATGTTCCTGAAATAACTGGCCTTCCGGAACCCTTCGCCTGGGAAGTGGCCACTCCCCATTTGGGTGGTCGTGTGCATCCCGTCCGACTCCGAGTTCACCACCTCCCCTCCCCATTCCACCATTGAAGCACTGTCTTGTAGGTTGGAAAACAGATATGCAGGCCAGTAACCGAGAATATAGTTGTTCCCAAATTGCATCCACCAGTGACCCAATTTTGGGTCCTGTAAAATGAAACTGTTAGAATATAAAAAACCTTTCTAGGGCCACAACCACAAGTTTGAGCTTTTGGTTGGATTGGCTCCTTGACATGGTATTAGAGCCTTGTTGGCTATAAGGTCACGGGTTTGAAACTCAGCACCAACTAGTTTTAAAAAAAGTAAAATTACACGTGCAAGACTCGAAAAGACTACAACTGCATGTGAGGAAGCATTTTAGAATATAATCTTTTCAAAGCATGTTAGAATATAAACTTAGATTTCACGTCCACGACCTGTATGTTCCTAGTTGTATTCATTTAAAAGTTCTCAAATGTAGTTGTATTCAATTGAAAAAGTTGTATTCATTAAATATTCTTAAACTTGATATGTCATGATAGGAAAAAAAGTCTTTTAAAATTGAGAGTATTCAATTGAAACCCTTATTAAGTCTTCAAAGACTATCTATACACAAGTTAGGAAGTATTCACAAAGTCATTGAAACCATAATGCTTTTGATTTTTCCATTCCTTTTAATGAAATTATAGAATGATTCAAATTATCTCTTCTCATAAATTTCAACCACTCAATTTTATTTTTTCTTAGTCCCTGAAAGAGTATTTAGAAAGGAGTTAATTCCATAATTGGTTCTTTATAAGAAGGGGTTCCCATATATAGTCCTCTATTATAAAATATCCCCCCGTAATCCTTTTATAGGTGTTTTTCCACAAATGGTGCTTTTTTTAATCTTCTGTCATGTTGGTGTTAATTTAAAGACTAAAAGTATAATTTGGCATCAACCCTATGTCCAATGACATATTCTGATATTGGTCAAAATTTTCAATTAAAGTGAGAAGTATGAGAAAATTACCTTCCAAACAAGAATGCTGATATCATATTGAGAACCTCTATAATTGGAAAGAGGGGAGATGGTGGCCCCCATCGCTATATTACTATTAATTTGAATAAATCCCGAACATAGCAAGTTGTAGCACCCCGTGGCTTGATAAGCATCACTCTGTCCAATCATCAATTATTCTCCAAATTAATTATCAATATAGTATGACATTAATATTATTATATTCTTCTTTTTCTTATGTAATCTCCAAAACTTCCTTTCTAAATTATCACTCATTTTCTTATTTATAAATTTTAAAAAATTGTACTCGTATGTTTTAAATTCATTAAGGCTCTGTTTGGTACACAGAATTCAAACTATGGAATTGGAATTGAAGAAAACAATTCCAATTTTTCTGTTTGGTAGCACGAAAATTTATGGGCTTGGAATTGGTAGCGCCAAAAATGAATTAAAATTGGAGAATTTAATTCCATAAAATTTCAATTTCCAATTCAATTCTAATTTCGTCAATTCCGTGTACCAAACGGGGCCTTGTTTATTAAAAGATTAAGAAAACGTGAACCATAATTTTTTTTATTAAGGAAGTAAGAAAAGTTTTGGGAGATAGAAGAATTAGGAAAGCTGACAAAGTCCAGTGGGGCCAAGGGGCATTTATTAGAACCACGTTGGATGTTTCTGGAATGCTAGCTGTATGAACAGATGGAAATTTAAAAAAAAAACAAGATAGTGTTGTGTTTCACTTACGGTCCAATAGGTGAATAATCTTGTGTTGTGATCCCCATACAAATCCGGGCTAACCTGTTTATTTCACATGTTAAATATTAGTTCATAATAAGAGATTATTAAGGTCTACATGTACCTTCTCACATACTCCTTCCGTCCCATAAAGTTTTACACGTTTACTATTACGGTCGCTCGATAACTCTTATTTGTTTGCGTGTTTTCATTGATCGTTTGATAAAATAAAGTATTCTTGTCACCTCTTGTTTTGGATGTAGTTTTTAAATATAAATTTTTTATTTTGTACTTTTTTACCAATTTGTAGATAAAAACATTTTAAAAATCACGGGACTTTGCACGTTGACCGAAATGGGTAAAACATTATGAGACGGAGGGAGTGTTTCTTTTTTCAATTTTAAAAATATTTATTTCAACACTTGAAAATACTTATTTAGCCTATATGAGGATCCACCATGGATCTTAGGTGCATGTAATAATTTACCCAAGGATAGTCATGATAGAGTAAAAATTATACCCATATAAACTTCAACACTAGCATATGACCTTTTTGCACATGACAGTTGTACCTATGTCCTTATATTGTTTGTTTGCAAGTCACGGGCTATATTAGGATACAGTATGATTGTTGTAGGTGCTTATGAATTACATTATTTATTCAAGATTAGAAGAATCTGAAACTCTCTTTGGGAACAATGTTTTAGATAAATTTACGATTTAAAATGCTAAATTGTCTGTTTGGCAAAAGTTTCAGCGTTTAACTTTATCATTCTGAAGCCAAATAGGTGACGAGCATCACCAAGTTCGCGCTCCGCTTGTTAAGCTCAAATATAGATGCTTGTCTTAACATTAAGTAAATGCTTATAAATCGTTTAAACGTCTATTTGTACCTTAAATGCACGTAAGAATTTGCCTGCCTTTACATACAGAATATTTGTACTTTTTTTTACTTTTTTTTATATCCATTTACATAGACTCCCTTCGTCCCAAATTAAGTTGCATATTTACTACTACCTCCGTCCTGGATTTTCATTCCAGTCAGTATTCCCATGATCAAACTTTGACCATTTTCTTTATCTATTTTCGTTAGTTATTTGATAAAATAATATAGTCATGTCACCTCTTGTTTTATAAAATTTTTGATGTGTTTTTAAATATATAATTTTTATGTTTTAATTTTACACATACAATCAAGTAAATTGAATTGAAAATAATTTTGGTCAAATCTCGTAAACCGTTACGCATTTGATAAAATAATATACTCATGTCACCTCTTGTTTTTTAGAGCTTTTGATGTAATTTTTTAGGCAAATTCTACTGCGGACCTAAGATCCATCATGGACGTACATATGACCCAAATAAGCATTTTCTTACTATTTAAATAAGCATCTATTTTAAAAAAAATGAAAAAAATTATGTAAGAAGGTCCACAAAAATGGTATGCACTCAAGGTCACCATAGAAGCACTCAATTTTTTAATATTTAAATTTATGTATTTAATTCGGTTCCAATTTTCAAATAAATTGTATTGAAAATGACTTCAGTCAAACATCTTTAACTAAAACAAACAATTTAAATTGTGACGGAAAGAGTATAAAAAAGAATTCAAAACATTAATAATTCATTTGAAAGCAAAGGTAAAAACCATTACTTTTACCAACGGATGAAAGGAGAAGAATTAATACCTGCCAACCAGCTTCAATGCTGTTGAGATCTGAATCGAAATCTCCTCCAAGAATCCAAATCTGAGACAAGCTGAACTCGCTGGTTTGCTGGATTTGAGGCTCCCACACGTTTATGGTTGCTTTTGCGCCATAGTATCCTCCTCCATTTACATAGGCTATTGCATGCTAACCACTCCAAGAAAACAAAAACCCCCCACAGAGATAATTAATTATTTTCACAAGAAATATAAAGAAATAGTCAATCTACTAGGAATTTGTTGGGCATTGGAAAGTCTCAAATTAGAAAAATAGCAAAGATAATGCTTGGCAAACAATCAGTAGAAGAGAGTATTAGCAAGTACACTTTTAAAAACATGTTAGGTAACTTTGTAAATGCTAAAAAATAAAACTTACACTATATTTGGTTCAAAGAATTTGGAAAAAAAAAAGAAAGGAAATGGTTCTCTCATTTTTTTCACAAAAATTGAGAGGGATTTTGTTTTCATTTTGTGTTCTCAGTTTCTTTTCCTTCCACTTTTCCTTTCTAACCAAACAAGGAAAATTGATTTCCATCTCTTTTTTTTCTCTTTCAAATTCCTTGAACCAAACATAGTAATGTTAATACCAACACTCTTTTTTCTAAAATGATGATCGTAAAAGCATTTTGAAAGTAGCTTTTTCATCCACATATTACTAATTCTGAGTCCTAATTTTAAGGAACACCTCAATTAGCATTTTAGCAGCCAAAATACCGAAAAAGAACATAATGTTCACCGACACGAGTGCCAAAAAAGAGCATATTTCTCAACAAAAAGCTTGCAACCAAACAAGACCAAAGAACAAGATTGAATATAAGTGCATACCTAATTCCATTAGTACGGGGCTTTTTAAAGATGTCCATGCGCACAAATGTGCGGGTGTGGCTTATAGCAAACAATATACTACTAATGCGAGGTTAGGAAATGATGGTTCGGGTAGGGATTGAGGAAGCCATGAAAAGTATATTATTAATTACCTGGTGTCCATTCTGGGTAATCAAATCAGGATCAGCAGACCTGGGTTTAGGGACACTTTTAAGCTTCTTTTTTCCATATCTCTTGAAAGTGCTGCTGACTCTCAAAAGGTCCTCTTCTCTTGTCCTTCTAATAGGAATAGTCCCTTCTGGGCACCTCCCACTCAAATGCCAAAGCTGATGAGGAATTGGGTTGGGCTCATCATTCCCATCCTTCAATGTGGAGAGCTTTTCATCCTTAAACAGCCCTTCTGGGTGGTAGCTTGGCCTCATCTACCAAAGAATATGAAAAAACAGCCAAACCTCTTTATACAAATCCAGAAGAAAAATAAAAAAAGAATACTGCCTCCCAATGCATTCATCGATTCCGATTTTAAGAAGTCAAAACCCACAAACTATTAAAAGAACATTGTCATAACTTTTCTAATTTCTTATCATAGATAAAAATGGAAGCAACCATGTTCAACTAATACATCAGGACAGAGAGGGTTATGATAAAAAGAAACAAATGTTCGTCCTCCTCACCTGAATTGTGTGGTTCTTGAAATGAGGATGATCGAAAGCTGGCTGGTGATGTATATGAACACAATCAATGATATCACCATCTGGGCTCTGTACATATATTTTTTTGCCAAACAGAAAGAAGCAAGATGAAATTACATTTGAGTATATGAAAGTGAAAATCATTCACAATTTTGCACTAAAACTTCAAGTGTTCTTCCCCAGTCCCAAAACGTCCTAGTTTGGGTACTTGAAAGAGTTTCTACAACAAAATACTATACCAACAACAACAACAAAACCAGTGTACACATACCTAACCTCCACCCACAAGGTGTGGTGATGGAGTTTTGGCTTTTGGTTGAGTTGATTCGTTAAGGCTTTAGCATTTTTTATCAAGAGGTCCTCGCCGTAACCCCAATTTTTTTGAAAAATTAAGTTTCATATACAAACTTTTTAGAATATCAAAAAGCTTTCATTGGCCAACCTTTGGTTTTTGGTTGAGTTGTTTCCATGACAACACTCACCTAACCAAATCCAGTGTAAAATTTTGAACAGTTAGTGTCTCCCATTTCCTTGCAACATATAGACCACACATACATACATACATCCAATAACCATCAAAATACACAGAGGGAGGGGAGAAAGGGGAGAACCTGTATGGACTTGACGGCAGGTTTGTTGAGCCGATCCAGGTGCTTCCGAACCTCAAGCTTCTTCTGAGTGACCATGGCCTCTCTTCTGAGAGCACCGCAGAGGGAAATCGAGAACGCCAGAAACCAGAAAGCCCTCATTTCCACGCCGCGGATGACGAAACCCATGCCCGGATCTCTCTAGCTCCTCCGAAGCTCGAGCTCGGACGGCCTCGAATTCCGCCTTCTCCGACGACTATAACAACTACTCTCGAACGAATTCGAACATGAATCGGTGGAAAATCCGAAAGGTGATCTGGCGACGCTCACGAAGATGGGTACAAGAAGAAGAAGAATATGAGGAGGCGGGAAGTAGGGTGGGGGTGTCGGTTAGCTTTCCATCTTCTCCATTTAACAGCTGCATTTCTTTGTCTTTTAGGACGAAACACTGTGGCAGCTATGGCGTGTGTGGACCTGCCTTGGCCTGGCCTGCTGCCACTTTGAATTTAATCCTTTTCTCTTTCTTCTTCAAATCCTCTCCAAATCTTTTTTTGCAAATCTAAGAATGTATTCCCTCTTTACTTTTTTTAAGTTTTAAACTTTTAACTCATACTTTTCAAAATTCTTTCTAGATTGTGGCCCTCCATTACTTTGGCATAATTTTTTTAAATGACTTTTCATTTTGAAAAAAAAAACCTTTTTAACCTACTAGATCTCTTTTTAAAAAACACTTCCTATTTCATTTTTACGTGCAAAATCTCAACTTTCTTTAAATAATTTTATTAACAAATTCGTATAGAAATAAAAAAAAGTTACATATTTTAAAACTAACAAAAATTTTACAAAATAGGTGGTGAAAAAAATATTTTATTTTGTCAAATTACTAATGAAAAAACACACCCAAATAAAAGTTATCCTGATGTCTTGAATAGTAAATATGAATGGTTTTTAAAAAGAGAGTAATAATTACTTCATCCTTCTCAATTATTTGTCCTTTTTCTTTATTTCACAAAATTCATCTCTTTTTAAAATTATTTATTTACAAATTAGTACGGAGTATATTAGTAAAAAGTATTGTCTGTATCTTAGTGTAATTCTCTAGTTTGACTTTTTCGAATCAAATGGGATGACTTTAAATCTAAATTAAATTAAATTTGTAATGTATCTTAGCATAAAAATAATTCCATTAAGTTTATCTTATTGAAAACTTTTAAATTTATATCTCATTATACTAATATGTCATACAAATTAGAAGCAATTAAAGCTCAAAGTTTATCTTTTTTTACTTAGAAAATTAAACTAAATAAATACATTGTGAAGGAGGTAATATAACTTACATATTTAAAAATCAAAAGCTTTACAAAATAAATACTAACATTCCTATTGAAGTTGTGCCTTAGTGGCCAATCATTTTATGAGCGTATTGTCATGAACAAGGGCATATGTAATATGTTTAAGCACATCTCATGCTAATGTAAACGATTATTGCATTCGTAGAAGTATACTTATAAGTTATGAGATAAAGTCTATCCTGTCACTTTGTATAATTCTAAACGGTCTATAGTTGAAGTATTAGCGAGAGTGAGATATCGTTAATGTGGGTAAAAAGATCCTTAGACTTGAAGTATTACGTACTTCGAAAACATGAACCCGCATGCTTTGATTCGTTGTCCTAATTAAGCCGTATGAAATATAATAAAGACGGAATATAAGCTTTGTGTTGGGTATGCCGCTGCACGTATTCAGAGACATAGATTACGTACATATGATTTGTCACCGCTACTTTACTAGAAAAATATCTTGTAGGGCCCACTGATAAGCATGGCTGATGAGGAAATGCATGGTCATGCCGAGATGGGTTTAGACATATGTTCCCGTTAGTTAGACTTGTTAATCATTGAATAACTTAATGGTACATGATGAATGAATTATATACCCTTTTCATTAAGTTAAGACATTGGGACAAATAAATCTACGTTATACAAAGTCTTTGTTAGTCGTAGAAAGGTTTTGACGAAACAGTTGCATCTTGTGTCCAACATGTACCTTGTGCGGAGTGTTTATCAATTCTTCAACATAAAATATAAATCAGAAATTAACTCATGTGTAACTGATAATTCTGTAAACGTAGTTAGTGATGAGGCCAGGATTCTGATACAGATCAAGTTCCCAGTGAGGGCAATATTTTGAAAACCGGACTGAACGTCAACTAGGATGAGGGAGTGAGTTAAAGGCTAATCGGTCGAACCAGTCAAGTTGGGGGTCAACGACCCAATCAAAAATATGTAAATAATAATGTTTTTATATTACTCTGTATATTATTAGACGACATATATAGTAAATAAAAGCATTTTAATTTATATTTTTTAATTCTACACCTAGATTTTAGTTTCATTGTACATATACTTTAATTTGTACTACTTTGCACTTTTTGTTTTTATTCTACTATTTTCATTTATTATTATGGAGTACAAATTAATAGTGAATATCTTAGAAGTACTCATTTTTCAAAAACATAAAGACTACATATCTTGTTCTTATATACTATTGACAGTTTAAAACTCATATTTAGTTGATTAAAATTTTTGAAAAAAATAAAAAATGCAATACATTACATTATAATCAATATTTTAAAGATTAAAATGCTCTATAATATTTTAAATATAGGTTTTATATTTACTTAGATAAACAATAAATAATACTAACTTTTAGCTTTTGCCTAATTTAAAATTTCATAAAATAAATAAAGAGTAAATTATGATAAACATATCGAGTATTCTCTATATTTAATAATTAAGAATAGTTTTAGGTTACTATGTATTATCTAAACATTTTAAGAAAATGATATATACTCCATTGCATGGCTTATGAAACAAGTTTAGTAAGTGTTTCATCTAAATCCAGGCGCGTTCAACCGGATGGACGACCGGTCCGGTCTGGAAGAGAGAGAGAGGATCAATTAATTAGATATTCCTTTTGTCCATGAATATTTGTTCACTTTTGACTTTTTTTGTCAAAAATGGTAAACATTGAATTCAAATTGAATAAAAATGATATTAGATTTTGATACGAAAATAGTTTTATAAGATTTATTATATAAAATATTTTTAAAAGATTATTTTTATCTAAATAATATACAATATATATTTTATTTAATTATAGGTCAAAGATTGAAAACAGTTTACCGGTTTTGTCATCTAAGCTCGAAACTGCCTGCACCTTGTTGTGGCAAATAAGCTTGCGGGAGAAATGCTTATAAATTGTTATTTATGCTTTTCATAAATATTAGTTTTACACATCTCATAATCAATAAGCAGGGCCGAAAATGAAGGAGGTCCGGGGCGGCAGCCCGAGCCTCCTAAGTTTAAAAGGCCCCAAATATTATAAGCGTAGTGTTGTGAGTAGTCTAGAAATTAATTTTTTGTAACTTCAAAATATAATTTTTATTACTACTTCATATTTGGGGATAGAAAACAATTGTACAAGATTACTATTAATATTATGTTCACACATTTGAATGTCAAGTTACCGACACAATTCTCAATTGGTGTCACTTAGGGTACTTTAATCTACTTTATTTATATATTCTATATATACAAAACATTAATTGTATTTCAATTTTGAATAAAAAAGGTATTTTACTTTTAGCTAGTACGGAGTATATCATGGTAAGACCCATTTTTTTCTTTGCCCCGAGCCTAAGAAATCTTAGGAACGGGCTTGTCAATGAGACCTCGTAATGTATGAAATAATTTTTAAAAAATTATTTTTTCAATCTCAGTATATTCGTTCTGTTTGATTTTTCTGAAACTGGATGATCTACTTCGCGTCAATTACTTTGAATTTGCTTTGCATATTATTACAGTGAAATAAAACTTTAAAATTCTCAACAAGATAAATCTAATTGGGCCATTTTTATACTAATATAAATTACAATTTTACTTAATTGAGGTCTGAACTTCGTCTAGTTTGAATCAAAAAATTGAAATAGATAAATACACTAGGACGAAAGTACTAGTTTACATATATGATTTAATTTTTGAAAAAATTAAAAATTATGTTTCTTAAAATACTTTTTCAATTTGGACATTTATGCTTAATACATCAAACATCTAATAAAATAATTTATCTCCTCACAATGTACTTTTGAAACACTTGTCGTGTGTCCATTATTAAATGACTAACAGTCTAACACACATTTTAGTTCAAATGAGAATGATACAAAATGAAAGAAATGAAAATGTATACAATTCATTACATATTCATTATATGTAAGATCTAAGAACTATTAAAATAGAAAAAAATTTTAAAAAGAATGAAAAAATTGTGGTAGTATTTTTGTAAATAAATTAAACTTTTTGTGCTTGTGCAAAAAACTATTACTCCGTAGTATAAAATGCATCAGGGAAGAGCTATTCAGTGCAAATTTCACATTGTGTATTCGACAATCGATTGTTTGGCATCAATTTCAACAATTATAAAAAATGATTTTGAAAAATAATTCCCGAATCCAAAAGAAATATAACAGAAGATTTTGTAAAGGTGTTTCAAATTAAAACACATTTGGAATAACCGAAACAAAAATTCGAGCTTGATATAAATAAAACCGTTTGGTGAAAAAAACACTCCGTATTAAACCAAAGAGGTTTTTTATAAGAAAAACAAAGTTGAGAAATGTTTGGTTCACAAACAAAATGATCACAATTTTTACAAACTTACTATTTGTGAGCTTCAATAAATAAAATAAAATAATTTTAAAATAGATATTTAAACCATAAATTAGTAAATTTGTGAATTTTGTGACTTTTTTTTTGTGAACCTAGGATTGCTCGATAGAGTTTAACTATTATTGATAATTTGTCTTTTTAGAACAAAAAATGTACTTTCATAGTTTCATGACTTCCACGTACAAAAAATTCATTTGGGAAGAAAGTATCTATTTTCAGCATCGGTAATAATCCCGTTATTGTTGAAATTATAAAAAAATTATAAACTACTAATTAAAAAAATATAAAAAAGTTATAAACTACTAATTAAAAAAAGGCAATTACATAGGAATTTACATTTCATATACTAATTTTACAAGACAATTTGTTCGACCACGATCCGACCGATGACAGCACGGTCTCTCTTTGGTTCTAAAAACTACGCCCGAACCACACCCGTCAAACGCGTTTAGGGTAAATCAATCTCAAGATCAACTTTTTTTCCCAGGTAAGAAATTATGTGGAAAAATGGTACTCCATTTTAGAGGCCCAGTTTCTTTGGCCTAAGGTAAGTAGAAGAACCTTTCTTCAAGCCAGGCAATGAAATCTGTTGCTGTTGCTTCTCTCTCTTCTCCCTCTCCTTTTCTTTCTTCCTTCTATCATTCTCAGCTTGCACATTCCTCAGGTTCTCAAGTTCTTCTTCCATGGCAGTTTTCTCTTCCTTCTGCTTCTTCTTGTGTTCCAACATGGACGTGTCCGAGTCCTTGACGGAGAAAAACATGGGGCCCAGCTCTGCCAACCAGTGCGGCTCCACTGACGTGACGCACTGCATGTACTCCTTTGTCGTTAAGATCAGCTCGTGATAGACGACGTAATCTGGTGTGTAACCCAACCCATAGAGTGCACTGGTGGGGTGCAGGTGACAAGGCATTCCATTCCTGCAATTCACATATTCACCCACACCCTTTAGCCTGGCTGAGTTATGGAAATATGCAGAACAGATTGCCTTTCTCACGATGTCCCAGTCCGGTCCGCATGAGGTGAGTGGGATTTTTAGGGTCTTGAGAATATCCAGCAACTGGGATCTGACCTCTCTGGCCTTGCGCAAGCCTTTCACGTGTAGGAAATGGTCATTACACCAATCGCCCCGGTAACTTTTTTCCTTCCATTGTTGGTAGACATTGAGGAGTGTGAGGTGATCGGATTCGGGTACAAAGAACTTCTCCCTAGCAGCATCGCTCTCTTCTGCCCTGTCCTTGGGCCTGAAGAAAACTGAGGGTACCGAAAGCATTGCCACGATGGTGAGAACTTCATTCAAGCATTCTAGTTGTTCACCCATGAGAAGCATCTTGGCAAGAGGTGGGTCCAACGGGAACTCTACCATTTTCCAACCAATATCAGTCAGGTCCCCGACGTTGCTGAGTGCACCCAATACCCACAGCTGGTACATGGAGTTGAGGATGTTTTCCTGAGGAGGAGGGTCCATGAAATCGAAATCCAGCAAATTTGAGATCTTGAGAGACTTGAGCAGTAAGACTACATTCCCAAGATTTGTCCTCTGGATTTCGGGTACGGGGCTTGGAAGCATCTCGTTCTGATATGCACTTTCAGTGTAGAGTCGGTAGCAAGTTCCGGGCCCAGTTCTGCCGGCCCGCCCAGCTCGCTGGTTTGCCGCTGCTTGACTGACCGGAAAAACTTGGAGAGCATCCATGCCCATCCGTGGATTGTACACCTTCATCTTAGAATAACCGGTATCGATCACATAGAAAATCCCATCAACCGTTAAGGATGTCTCAGCAATGTTTGTGGCAACAATGCACTTGCGTTCTCCTTCTTCTGCCTTATCAAAGATCTTAGCCTGCAAATCGGCAGGCAGTTGGGAGTAAATGGGAAGAATAAGTAGCTTGGGTACAGCCTGCTTAGTTGAGGTGACTAACTGTTCCATTCGTTCTTGAAGTGCATAACATGTAGCTTCAATCTCATCTTGACCAGTCATGAATATGAGTATATCACCGGGAGCGCTAGTTATGTGGATGGTCATAGCCTGCTTTACAGCAGCCTCCACGTAATCTTCACAAGGGGTTTTGCTGTACATATGCTGAACGGGAAATGTTCTCCCTGGGATGTTGAAGATAGGTACACTGCAACAGATTCATAAAATTATCATTACATGTTTGTTGTAGAGTATTCCAGATAATTTATACGAATTGACTTGCAAGTCAAATCTTTCCTGTGAAACCGCCTTCTAAAAGGCTTATATCACTTCTTTGACATCATCATACTTTACTTGAATTGAGGTGGTGCTTAAACCTTAAGCCACACCTGATTTGACAAAATCCACTCCATTTATATGAAATAGACAAGCTTGTCCTTAAGCTAGCTCACATTTCCTTCCCCTTTTAAAAATCTAAAGGATAAACTTGTCTATTTATGATAAATGGAGTGGATATAACCAAATGAAGTGTGCAATTAGCAACACTCGCAAATTAATCCTAATAATCAGCTATATAGCATGAATGTTGTAACTAGTGGTAGTACATTATAAATGAACAATAAAATATTTTCTCTTCACATCATCACATGATAACTCATCAAAAGCATAAAGAGTATAAAACCAATTAACTAACCTCCCAAAGAAGTCAGAAAATTTACGTGAATTTAGGGTGGCAGATGTCACAATAAGCTTAAAATCACGACGCCGGGAAACAACTTTTTTAAGTATGCCAAACAGCACATCAGTGTTTAATGATCTCTCATGCGCTTCATCCATTACAACGATACTGAGACAAATGTAAGCACAATGCATTTAGTACATTTAAGGGGGGAAAACTCATGAAACATTTAAATATAGCATATTAACAAGGTGTCTGTGCATATAAGCTGTTTTTAATTTATAAGTCAGATGATGACATGTTTCTCTGTGATTATAAGCTGACTTATAAGTAAAAAAAGTAGGTCTTACCTACTTATTTTAAAACCAGTTTTTTCGTTTCTCCGTTTTGAAAAGATTATTTACAAAACTATCCCTCACCATTTATGGACATCCCCAAAATGACATATCTATAATTTAAGTCATTTTACTTTACAAAATAATATTCAACTTATACACACCTTATAAGTTAAAAACTGTTTATCAATAATAATAAGCCAATAAGCACTAGTACAGAGAAACACCCTCTAAATTTAAATATTACAGTAGAGCAAGGTACAAGTGTGTAACAACTGGAATTTATCAATTAGATATGTATTTTTATCATAATTCGATGGTGCCACTAAATTTATCATATTTAAGTGGTTTGGAATGCTTTTCTAGATATAATGAAAGTAGTTTTATTGTTCAAATAAGAATCTGTTTTTTGAGACAAACAAATCTTAAAATAGGACTCTTTTTTGGGACGGACAGATGCATACCTATATTTTTCAAGATCAGAATCCTTCAGTGTCTCCCGCAGAAGCACACCATCTGTCATGTACTGTTCAGAAAGAAATGGAACAAAATGAACACAGGCAAAACCAGTGAAGAAAAAACAGCTTATCTGTCAAATCAAGTGCAAGCCAACAAACATAGTAACCATCAGGTGAAAAGCAGGATGTTATGTAACAGCATAAAGCATAACAGTTTACCTTGATAACAGTGTTTGGGCCAGTCACGTCTTCAAAACGAATAGCATATCCTACTTTATCTCCAAGCTTAGTTTCCATCTCTTCACTAACTCTTTTTGCAACACTCATAGCTGCTACACGCCTTGGTTGAGTGCAACCAACTATCCCATTTTTTGTGTAGCCATCTTCATGTAGGTACTGCAGACATTTATCACACAACACAACAAGCAGAAAAATTAATAATTTTTTATACATAAAGTTAAAAAGAAAATTTAAACTGTTAAAAGCATAAGTTAAGATATTGGGCAGACCTGTGTCAATTGTGTAGTCTTCCCTGAACCAGTTTCTCCAACAACTACTACAATTTGGTTTTCACGAACCACCTATTCAAAAAAATTGAAACAAAATAAATAAAAAGGTAAGTAGATGTGATTATCTTTGGGAACTTATGTGGCAAAGAGGATTGCAACTTATGTCATCAATTTAGATGATCGGCATTTAGAACTTTGATGCACATTCTATACGCGTATTAAGTAACAATTTAACATCTTCCAAAATGGCAAACAACAAAGTGAAACAGGGAAATATCATATGGACAAATAAAGGTGCTGCTAAAAAGAAGTGTATGCATGCCAAAATGATTTGGATTGATGATTTAGGTTGTGTTTGGTTGGAAGGAAAATATATTTCGAAAAGAATATTTTCCAGGGGAAAATAATTTCCAAGGAAAATTATCCCCCCCCCCACACACACACTTTTTTCTATTGTTTGGTAGGAAGGAAATTGCTTTTCCAAAAAAACATTTTTAATTGTTACGATTTCAAAATTGATATTTAAAAATATGTTCTACAGATAATTTTAAACTATTTTAGCAGAGTGGGGGTGTTGGTGCGGGGTAGAGGGGAGAAGAGGTAGGGGCAGATAGTGCGGGTTGGCGAGTGGCAGAGAACGGTGTGGTGGGGGACTAGGGGCAGGGAGCGGGGTATGTGAGGTGGGGGTAAGCAGGCGGGGTGGGTTTGGACAGAGGGTAGGAGGGGGCGAAGGGTAGCATGGTGGGGGTTGACAGGGGGAAGGGGTGATGGGTGGCTGATGTGGGCGGTAGCATATGGAGTGGATAGAAATTTTCCTTCGAAATCAAACGGAAATTATTTTCCCTGGATGGGAAAAAATATTTTCCTTGGAAAATATTTTTCTACCACTTGTGTTACCAAACGGTGAAATATGCAATCAAAATTTTCTGGGAAAATATCCCCCCCCAACCAAACACACCCTTAAAGAATGATCTGAACATGGAAGCTTTAGGAGAACACGGTGCAAGACAGAAAAGAATGAAAAACGAGAATATTAACAGAAGACAGCATTGTAGCCTGCCCATAGAATTTTCTTTGTTGGACAAACAGTTCTAAGAGTAAGGCCTTATTATAACCTAGCTAGAAGAAATTTAGCTTAATGCACTTTGAAAAAACATTTGTAGCGCAGAACCCTATACATTTTCTGGGTATATTCATGACCTTCCAACTGTTGACTTAATTAAATATCCGCTACTTTAATAGGTTCTGTGGGGAAAACATGCATCCAAAAAAGAGCTCCTTAGCCCAAATATCTTGAGATGCACTACACTATGGCTTAATAACCGCATGCCAATAGAAAACAGGCTTAGAGAAAAACATTATATAATAAAACTGAAAAGCACCACAAATTCATGAAAAAGGAAGTGGTGTAACCTGCATAAACTCATCGCGAACAGAAAATATGGGCAAATACTGCCTCTGTTGTGAGATCGTTTTGGATTTTGCAAAGTCACTCACTGCTTCCCCTTTCTTTAAGTGTTGTGAAAACCTAGCTTCTTCCTTGAAATCAACCTCACCTTGTTCACCCACTGCAGCAGTATCTGCATCAATCTAGCATAGCATTTAAACAGAACTTCAGATATAGGACTCTGGCCTTCGGCCTTCTTTGAGCAATAAGCTTCATATATCACAATATGTTACCTGTTCAGCTGTTTTTTCAACCCCTAAGATGTCACCAAGTTTTGATCCAGCAAGTTCCCAAAACCGTTGACGGGATTTATGCATGCTTTGTTTTTCATGTATTTCACGAACAAGCGAAGATCCTTTCCGTGATATTATGGCCATGTCCGATGTGGGGTCCTTGATAGGCATTACTGGTTCAGCTTGCTTTGTGAACACAATTCTTCCATCCAGAAAAGGGGGTTTTGTATCTGGTTCATGAGTTACAAAAAAACATAAGAAAAAAAAGCTATTCTTTTCTCTAGAAAGTAGAAACTGAACTTATTTAGTAATTGAAACTGATGGGGTGTGAGGGATTCATACCATGGACAAGGAGAATAACCTTCCTTTCATCTTCATCATCAAATTCTGTTTGCACCTCAGTGCCTTTAACAGCTCCAGATCTTAGAAGCTGACGGTCTTCCCACTGAGCATTGTCTGCAGTTAGCTGTGACAGCTTCTTGCTCTGAGCAAGTGACATCTTAGAGCCATCTTTTCGAGTCTGTTCAGAAAACAAATAGAGTGAAAGATGTTAGCAATTCAGCTGGCATTACCAACAAAAAAAAAACCATGTTTTAATTTTAAAACACATAGAGTGGCTAGTTAAATTTACCAACAAAAAACCTAAAAATCATAAGACAATGATAAGTTGAGCCAAAGGTATGTTTACCATAAAACTCTAGTTTATGAATAACTCAAGGAATTGAAGGAAAACAAACTAGACTTTAATATTAATGTGAACAACAACAACAAACCGAGTAAAACCCCACTAAAAGTAGGGTGTGGAGAGTCTGTGTGCACGTAAACCTTACCCCTAATGGGCTTAACATTATACCTTCTGAATTGTTAAGTTGTTTTTGTGCATAGGTGAATCCTACATGGCAGTAATCTTTTAATATACAAAGCTAGAGGGGGGAAATAAACAGTGATTTTTCCCGCCTAAAGCTACAGTAAAAAAGAACAGTGATCCACCCGTGATTTGAGACAGCGTATCTAAGAAGCTAATACTTCTCGGGAGAAAATATTCGATCAGTGCTTTTATCTAGGGTTTTGTCTTTCAATTTGCAAAATGGATTGTTCGTCTCCACTGGAGTTAATTTACCGCTACTACACCGGATGATGTTTGTCTTCGCTTCTCCTTCACACTTCCTGCTCCCTGCTCGCCGGAAACCATGTTCGAGCCTAGGGTTTCAAACGTAGCCTTGGATCTTTCTAGGAAGAAGGCTATGGCAGGCCGGGTATGTACACAGCTTCAAATATTTGATTTCCATCCAAAACGTAGTCTAAGATTTTTTCTTGAAAACTCTAATGGCCACACCCATTTTCCATCATCTTCCTCGGCTTTTACCTATTATTCAGGTTTAAGTTTTAGTTTTAATTTTCTTTACAAGGCTAATGCTTGGGTTGCAGTTGGCAGAGCACTGGAGCCCGGTTTTCTTCTCTCTTATTTTTCAGACTTGAGTATAGGTAGCAGTAACCTCCCTCTCCAACTTTTTGGGATCATTAATGTCTAATTCTAATTTGCAAACCCAGTGAATCAGTGACTGGGTTGTGCTTACAAAGTTAAAATTGTTGTAATTCTTAATTAAGCTATTTACTCCACATTGTGATGCTATTGTAAATGCAGGTAATAAAATAAGGATAAAATGGAGAAAAAGAGTAGTAAGCATGAAAGCTTTTACTGTTAATTACAAGTGGGATTAGAAAAATGGACACCCAACAAAAGAAAGAGGTTGTGTTATGATAGTATTATGATGTCTTTGTGATTCGTTGTCTGCATATGGCATTTGATGGGCATAACAACTTTGGAAAAGTCAAAGTAAATGGAATACTTCCTGTTATTGCACAATTTTATCTTTATTAATCTGCATGAACTCTTTTTTTTTAATGTGGGATGACACATGTTTTCTTGATAATATCGTTGATTTTCTTTATATTTGATTTGTTTAGGAACACTGATTAAACGAAGGATTTAATCTTGGAAGACCGCTAATGCTATGGTGCCGCCCTCTTCAACCACTCATTTCAAATCATATCAATTATAAAAGGTTTATTCTTTTATTACCCTTTTTCTCAAGAAACCATTTTTTTACGTGTTCCGAGTTAAACTTATGCTATTAGACTATTAGAGACCACAACAATTGTTGTGTGTTTTGAGGAGAAATAGAGAATGAAACATTAAACTTCTTCCATAACTTGATGCCAAGGTTGCTCTTGATGCTTTAAAAGAGGCCCTGACTATTGAGTCCATTGTTAGGGATTTAATGCAAGTGCCTTAGCTTAATATTCATCCTAGGCTTTTCTTTATTTGTTTCAATTTCTTTTGTAGGTAGATTAAGATTTTCATATTTTAGGTAATAGTTTTCAGATTTTTGGGGCCCAAATTTGAACAAGGTAGGAGGGATGTCGGACTCCTGGAACCGGCGAGTCATGACCGTGGACGGCGGACAACCATTAATGGCGAGTAGCTAGGAACGACTTCTGGGCAACGGTACCTGGAGCATAGCAACTACATTGGAGGCAATCATTTTTCAATTTATTAGCAAAGGCTCTCTCAAAAGTTTGATTTCATGAATCCATCTTCATCGCCAATTTGACTGACACAGTCAGTTTTGATTTCACTCTTCAAATCTGGGAATTTCATGGCAAAGTATGGAATAGCTACGAGCATAGCTTGAGCTTCAGCAAGGAAAGTAATAGTCACTGTAAGAGGGAAGGCCACCATAAGGACTGATCAATGAAAAGGCAGTTGATCACAATGGTTTGAATTTATCATTCGATTTGTGAAACGTTGAATTGTAATGAAGATTTATATTTTTCCATGTAGTGTGAGGACTTGATATTAATAAAATTTCTGACCGTGCAACGGACGGGTTAAAAATACTAGTTTTTAACAAATATCAAGAAAGCTCTGTAAAGTAGAGTAGATATAAACATCAAAAAAACAAATTATACATATACATACATACATTAATATATATATATATATATATATACATTACCAATGCAATAAGATTAAGATCAGCACCTTCTTATCCAGATATGATATGATTAATATTGCCAAAGAACACTTACAAGTCTTTTAGCCAGCTCAGCCTCTTTCTTCTGAAAAGATGCCTCGTCGCCTAAAAACAGGGTTGACCTATCCATGTCAAATGTACTGCTTCCTTCTTCTCTGTCGTACCTGTACAGTGAAAGAGCTAATAATTAAAAGGCCGCAAGATGAAAATAAATAACATTATAGTTTGTTGTACAGTAAAGAGTTTTTGGTGATAAACTGATACCAGGCACGATCAGAGTTGTACTCCATCTCTAGACGCATACTTTCAGAGATCTCTTGATTGCTGTCTTCAGACCCAAGTGTATTGCCATCTCCTTCCTGGAGGCAACAATGAGAAAAATATACAATGACACTATGTTATAGCATATGCAATGCAATTTTTTTGCTTTCCTTATCCTAGCAGTGTAAGGCAATTTGTAAATGTTTACAGGAAGGAAGTACTAATCATTTTACATAATCAATACAGCAAGTGTGCATACGAATAAATCATCGTAAACAAGTGAAACAAGAAGTTGTAAGCCTGTAATTTATTTAACTGTAGGTCTGCTAAAGGTCAACTCAAGGTCTTCAATAGTGCATACTATGGAGATATAGGTCAACTGATAGGTCTGCTAAGATCAATATTTCAACAATACGCAAAGAGATACCTCAGACATGGTGGCATTAGTAGAAAGAGAACCCCGACTAAATTTTCCACCATATCGAGACCCTGAGGTCCTCACAGAAGCGCCAGATGCTCGTATTGGAGTTGGCGATGGAGCAACACTGTCCCAAGGAGAAGCAGCTCCTGTAGATATTCAAAATGTTACTGGTTATATCATATCAATATCTTATTGTATGTCGAGTTCAGCCATGCTACCCAGCAATCAAAACTAGTGGGATAATAATCTACCAGAGCGAGGAGTATGGCCTCCCAACCATGGGGAAACAAGTCGCGCATCAGGTGAGGCTCCAATATACATTGGCGATGGGGAATGATAATGGCTACTCCTACTACGGTTGGAAAAACTGTCCCGGCGAGGGGTATCTTCCCACTCCGAGTTGCCATCATCCCAGCTAGAGCTTCCTGCAATACGTCAAGAGTTCCATTGTAACAAACTGAAAGAATAAGAATGCATTTCACATAAAAAGTAACTAGTGAAAGCGTCAAATTACTGTGGGTGTTCCTACAATAAGACATAAATGGTAGATTAAATAATCCAATATCTTGCGAGGGCAACACTATTTCCATAAAATAACTATAAGATTTTGTTTTTATAATATTTATTTTTATTATTATTATTGGGGGGGGGTCATTGAAGGACTCTATCAGGCCCAAATTCTAAAAAACATTACCAAACGTAATAAATGGGGATGATGATGATGAAGGTAAGATAAAACTTCTTTTCTTTGTTTGTCATAATTAAGTAAAGTTCTAGTATGAACCACAAAGCGTGTATTTATTTATTTAAAATACTTAAGTATAACTGGGGTCCCTTGGCCATCCCTAGAACTTTACCATTACTATTTATCATCCAACTAAAGAGGACACTTGATGAGCTAACAAATGAAGATATACCCACCATGTGTGTTCCGGGGGCTTTCATATCTACCTCGTTTCCTTCTGCTATCATCATTGTACTCTCTTCCAAAACTGTGTGATGATTCCCTACGCCGATGATCTTCGCCATAATTGTTGTCTCTTCTAGTTTTGCTCCTATAATCATCCCTTCTTGATCTTCCCGTAGAATGCGTTGAAGCCTTAAATTAAACGGTTACTCATTCACACTATGGCAATTGACAACAAAACTAACAGACATGGGATAACAAGAAAATTGGCTGGAAAAAAAGGCAAGTTGATGCAAAGCAGATAAACATATTGGTTAATAGGATCATTAAAAATGGTGCCCAGCATAGTGACACGTACTCATACAGATAGGTATCATCCTAATGATTTGGAAAATTCAATACTCGTCAGTTAATTGTTTATTAAGACATTTAGTCATCAACAATTAATACAATAAAAAGATACATGATAGGATACAGAAACAGATGCACAGAAACAAATGAGTGCTTAATCCCCCATCTCACTTCCAAACAAAACATACACATACTCACACATATTAAGACATTTAACCATTACCACAGGTGCACTATAAGAATAAAATTTAAAAAGAAAAAAATACGTGATGATGATTTTTATTTGGATCGAATGAGTGCTTGATATCCCCACCCATAGGCCCAAACAAAAAACACACAACAAAGTCACACACACACACACAGACAGACACACACGCACAAAGCTGACATTTCAGCACCATCAAGATAAGAGGCAATGACAAATTACAACAAGATACTAGGAACCAAGATGTGGATTTTGCAGACATGGAACATAAATTTGCCCCAACTGCATCATATTTTTTCCTTGATAACATTTAAGACCCATTGAAAAGAAAACTACAACACAACTTCACATGTCCAGAAAAGAAAAATGGGTTATAATACCTGATGGTGTTCATCAGGAAGAGGCTTTAAGAGTGTTCTGCTTTCTCGTCCTACGGTTACTGTAATACCTGAAAATAAATATAAATTTATGAAGCAATGGGTTAAGAAATCTTATAGAGTAGGTGAGGAGCCAACAACTCTCTGAATGAAGTCTTTATACTTGCATGTTAATGGAGTTCAAGTGTTTAGAATTTGAGGGTCTAGTAATATAAACATCATAGAGCATCACAAGTAGTTTATACTACGTAAATAGGTAGCATATCCAAGGCAAACGCCTTTAGCAGAAGAAGTTTGTTTATGTGAGCGGACATTTTTCACATCCTAGTTCCCACTCTTTTCTCATTATCTCAACACAGTCAGCACAAGTAAAATGCAATTGCTTTTTCCCTTTTAAGAAATCCATTGTACCAAAAGGCACTTGAAACCTTCATAGAAATAAATGCACACCTGTAACAATTGCGTACCTGAGGTAGAATCATCGCTAGCAAGATGATCACGATATCGCCTACTAGTGTGACCACGTGAACCACGAGATGGACCATCTTCTATTTCTCCGGTCACAGTAGAAGTGTCTTCGCATTCATCTATAGCTGACACAACAGATGCTACTCTTTCTTTTGGGACTTTAAATGAGTTGTCTACTGTAGATCCTTCTCTTTTTGTACTAGCTAGTACATCAAGCCCTAAATGTCATATACGACTTCAATTAGCTCTGATTACAAAATAGTGGTATGATATATAGGCATCTTAATAATAAAACTGAGCTCAACAATGAAAAATAATGGGCATAGATATGCATCTAATAAAATTCCATGCTGCCAAGAGGCATCTACCACTGACTAAAATAATTGGAAGCAAATGTGCATATTTGAGGACCACAAGTGGCCATTTTTTCCTGATAATAAAAAGCAAACTTTGGCAGTCACGTGCAAGTGTGCAATTATTTGACCTAATGTAATCCACATGCCATTCAAAGTGCATGATGGTCAACATAATGGAAGTTCTTATAAAACTTGAATATTCTTCAGTTTTAATTAAAACATTCTTCTATTCTTCTCCTTTCAGTAAGATTCTTCACAGTTCCCACTCAATCCAAAATTCCATACACCCTATAAATGATAAAAATGAGTAAACTTCTTGTCTCAAAAAAAAAAAGAAATAATAAAAAATCATAGAATGAATAAAAAGAATTACCAAAAAGTGATTTGCGCTCGGGTTGTTTAAAAACAACTCGATCTTTCCCAGGTATATACAAACCGCCACCGCCGACACTATCAGGTTCCAAAGTAGTAGTTGTGGTGTCCATATTTATTGGTCCAATGCCCTCCTGCTATCCAATTTTCTGAATGCAAAAGAAAATTCAAGCTCAACCAAAGTTTAAGAAGCAAAGTTAGCAAACACATAAATACAGGAAACTTAATTCATTTACGCGCATCTGCATGTTCCGCTGGAATCCAATTACAACAACAAACCCAATAAAGTCCCACCGAATGTAGAGTCTCGGGAGGGTGTGTATACGCAGTCCTTACCCCCACCCGAAAGTAGAGAGACTATTTCCAAGAGACCCACTACTCAAAACAGAAGCACAGATAAAAAGTAAAAAGTAGACAGAATACCACATCGATTGAAGAGCAAAGATGCTAAAACCACAAGAAATTACACACAAGAGTGACAAGACTCTAGCAACAAGACCCAAAACAAGGAGGCCCACGAACACTAGCTCAAGACAAGGCACAAATACACAAGCAGGCACAAACACACTAGCAAAAACAACAAATGAGGGTCCAAAAACCTAGGCAACTACTCTAGTTCCAGATCTCCAATAGTTCTGGATCTCCATACGTCTCTATCTGAGGTTATATCCTTGGTGATACCCAAAAGTAAAAGGTCATGTCTAAGCACATCATTTCATTTCTTTCTGGGCTACCCCCTCTCACACCTACAACCACAAGCCTCTCTCAATTTCTAACTGGGGCATCTACACTTCTCTTCCGTACGTGCCCAAACCATCTCAGACTAGAAATAGATTTCTAATTGAGCCCAAAAATGGGTAACCTTGAAACAAATTAGATTAATGCTTGTGGGTGGTTGATAATGCCACAATTCTATAAGAGAAACAAAGAGCAAGATATTGATTCAGCACGTAATTTAAAGTATTTAACTAAACCAAAAGTGTGTGCCAAGTGTGCATGCATGCTTATGTGTCCATTTAATTGATAGTAAGCCAACATGGGGATCAGATGAAGGGATGAGTATGTACGCAAGTAGAGTAAGTAGAGATAGAGAGAGCACAAAAAGAGTATTATTGCTTCTATTTTGGAGTTGTTTACCAATTGGCTACAACTGCACACATCATCATCTAGGACATGAAAAAATTAGAACTAACAGAGAAAATAGTCAAATAGGGTTCCTAATAAGCCAAGTTGGGGATCGATTGAAGGGATAAGTATGTAGGGAAGTAGAGCTAGAGAGAGCACAAAAGGAGTATTATTCCTTCCATTTTGAATACGTTTACAAAGAAGACGAGGGGGTATTTATACTACTCTGTCGTGTAGCGTTTATCTGTGTAAAGATTGGATTGATTCTTTCAGACACATACGTGTTTCCCTCACTCTTTTTTGATGTCTAGCGTGGGGTAAACCCCCTTGAGGAGCATTGAGAAGACAAGAACAACATCTTGGTGTGTCATAAAGTGCTAGTTTGCAGTGTTTGAAATATGACTGGTGGGAGGGATGTGGGACTGTGGGAGTTGAGATCGCAATCACCGCATGGGGTATGAAATATGAATGCTGAATTCCTGCTCTAGTTGGCCAACCAAACCTCTCCAAGTCATCCGGGATGATTGTAACTTGTGAGGTCAAATCTTTGGGGATGATGAGAGTGTTAAAGGTCCACAGAGTCAGTTCGTGACTTAAAAGGGCCCGGTGCAAAAAAAGGGCCCTAATGTATCAAATAAATGCAAATTTAAAAGAAGCTCCATACTAATTATTAGATTTGTTACAATGAAGTATGCAACAACAACAAAACATGGATACAAGATTATCCATTTCTACTTCTTCCAAACTCTCACATTCAATCGATATCAAGGCCAATCCGTTCAGTCTCTGTTGCGGAATAGTTGAATGCAAGTAATTTTTCAATAATTTCAACTTTTAAAATTTTATTTCCGCTGGTGAACTTCTTGGATCATATATATGAACTAAATCAGATTTGTTGGTATTATCCGTATTAAAAGGTGAACCCGTTTCAGTATTTTCAACATCAACATATTCAACTCGATCAGTTTTAACTAAACTTTCAACAATGTCAACATCACACTCATCTACAACTAAAGTATTTCATAGGAACCAATTTACAAGTCTAAAAATACTCCGTATGAGAAACAAGGATGTGATTTGACAAATGGATTCATTGCATTCTTGCAGCTTGCAGAATGTGAAATTTTCTCTGTGTTTGGGTGTCAAAATGTGATACTTCTTGAATAAAAATTACAAAATGGCAAACCTGCACAACTAATTTTCAATGGATCACTTAACACTCTCAATTGAAAAATGAGATGCAATAAATAAAGTAACATCCAAACTAGAGGCAGGGTCAAACAGATCTCAAGTCTAAAGCCATAAACTATATCTGCCTAAATTTAGACAGAGACACTTTCATATCAATAACTCTTTAGGAATATTCTTCTAAATTTTAATTCAAAACTATTTGAACTGATTAGCAATAAAACTTTTTTTAAAAAGAGAGAAAAAATCAAAACAGAACTGATTTTTTTTTCAATTTGCAATCCATCCATCATTCTAAATAAAAATTAAAACTCAGAGATGAAGAAATCGCTCAAATCAGACAATTAAAATATAAAAACTGTCAATTATCTAAAGGATGAAATTTGAAAAGGGAAATGAAGAGTAAACAAATAAAGCTAGGGAATAAATCATACCTGGACTACTGGAGGGTGGTGCCGTGGAGGGCGGAGGCAGCGGCGCAGTGCGGTGGCGTCTTCGGCGTCGCTTTTCCGAAATCAGAAGCCCGCAGAGGCAAGAGTCGCTCACTTCGGTGGGCGGCGACGCACAGGTGAACCTCCGTAGAAGCGATGCAACGGCGACTGTGATGATATTTTTGGGATTTGATAGTATTTGTGATGAGTAGGTCTGACCAGTCTTGTTTTTTGTGGGTGCCAAGGTAGATGAGGAGGTATATGGTACATTAGATGTAACTAGAGATAATACATTTGTATAGTACTCATTTAAATTAAATTAATATTCATTATCGTACAAATATAAAACTTAATTTTGAAATACGTAGTACTTATTCTGAAATAAGGTAATACTCATTTTAAAATAACGAAGTACTCTGTTTAATATAATTATAATAAATAGCGTAATATTCATTCTTAAAAAAAGCAATACTCATTCTCAAATAAAGAAAGACTCATTCTCAAATAAAATTTTGTTCAATTCTTTCACAATTGAAAAATTTAATACTATTATTACCCTCAAGCATCTTCATCAGATCTTCCTCTATTTCCCTTGAACCACAAGTTAGGCAGCACAGTGGATTGGATCTCTCTCCCAAAAATTACCAGGCGCAGATCAGATCTCTGCTCTCAATCATAGATCGTCATCATCATCTTCTTCCACAATTCACTTCGGCTCGGATCTCTGCTCCCAATCCAATCAGATCTACCTGCCATAGCAGCCTCCTCTTTAATTGCCAGATGCCATGCTCCGACCCGTTCTCTTCCTTTTCCGATTCTAATTTTTTCCGGTGGTACAGTTCTTACCGTGCAGCCGGATGTAGGATATAATTTGCGATGCTAAGGTGCTCTGTTAGTAAAATTTGACAATTCTATTCTCTAAGGTCCCCATAAATGCCCCACCCGCCCTAACTCGAAGAACTCATTTTAATTTTGAAGTCAAAAATAATTTGGGAGTACAATTGAAAACTAAGTATTGTTATAATACAGAATATTAATAATAATACAACAACCATAACAATCTAGTTGGGTCACAGTAGGGAGCATGTGTACTTAGACTTTGCTCTTACTCGAAAGTAAGGGAGTTATTTCCAAAAGACCCCCGGCTCACTGAACAAAAAATAATACTCCTTTTGTCCCTAAAAGATTGCCACAATTTGACCTTTTTGGTCACACAAATTAGGAAAAAAATATATTTAGTGATAATGTAAATTTAATAAAATTAGGTTTATTTCAAAATATAGTTTTGAAATATCAGTTTTTTATAATATTTAATTATTTTAAATTACACTTGATTCGTAGTAAAGAATGTCACAATTTGACTAAAAAATCAAATTGTGGCAATGTTATGACCAAAAAAATCAAATTGTGGCAATGTTATAGCCTTTTAGGGACACAGAGAGTATAAGATAATAACAGTACTAAAAGATCCCATGGGCCACATAAAAAGCATAGAAAGCACATATAAAACTCAAAACACAGATAAAATGACAAACTAATGTTAACAGAAAAAAAATATAATAAATAGAGAACACCAAGTATATAAGGCATACAATGTACACAACAAGTCCTGCAAAACTATCACATAGCCCAAATTAAAGCGTCTATAAAACTACTCTAATCCTATCTCTCCAAACACTCTTATCTAAGGACATATCATATTCAATAAGGGAAAGAAGTTTTAAGATCTACCTAATAACCTCTTTCCAACTCTTTTTAGGTCTATCGTACCCCTTCCCTTACTCCCACCCACTAACGTAAATCTCTCGCACATCCCAAATCACCTAAACCTAGCTTTTTGTGACTTATCTTCCACAGGTGCCATACTGATCTGTCCTTGAATAATCTCATTTGGGATCCTATCCAATCTTGAATTGTCTGCCGTCGCAATATCCACATCTCTGCAACATGTAGTCAACGAGCGTGGGGTTTCTTAACTACCCAACACTCTCAACCATACATCATAGCTGGTCTGACTACGGATCAGTATAACTTACCTTTGATCTTAGCCAAAATCTTTTTATCTTCTCATCGCACAGCAAGAATAATAACAATAACAATTATTATAACAGTAATAATAATAACAGTAGTAATAATAACAACAACAACAATTTTAAAGTAAATTCTATAAAAGGTCCCCAGTTATAGGTCGTTTTATATATTTAGTCCCTACATATCAAATATTACTAATTTAGTCCCTAATTATTATGTTCATTTCCACGAATGGTCTTTTGTTAACATTTCTATTAAGAACGTGGATAAAATTGTAAATTCACACATCTTTTTCTCCTCAATTAACCTTCCTCTATCCCCTCGCACTCCTTTCCCAAACTCGTCGCTGAGTTTGAAGCTTTGAACCCAAAACCGAAATCACCACTCTTCTCTCAATTGTTTGTCTAATTGGTGGAACCCAAATTCGAAACCAATAACCTTAATGGATGAGTTTTAATGTTTATTTTCTTTGTAATTTTACTAGACTAACCGATAAAACGCATCCATAAAGCTTATTGGTTTTGATTTTAGGTTCCACCAGGAAAACTAATAATTGAGAGAGAAATATCATTTCAGTTTTGGGTTTAGATCTTCAAACTCAGCGACGAGTTTGAGAAATAGTACGAGAGGAGGGAGGAAACTTAATTGAGGAGGAAAATAGTTTGAGAAATAGTACAATTTTATCCATGTTCTGAATAAAAACGTTAACAAAGGACCATTCATGAAAATGGTATAATAATTGGGGACTAAATTAGTAATATTTGATATGTAGTGACTAAATATGTAAAACGACCTATAATTGTGGACCTTTTATGGAACTACTTATAATAATAATAAATACCGCTATTGTTATACGAATAAATAATAATGAGTAATGTTAGAGTTACAAATTATTGGGACACAAACAATACAAACTTTCCATTTGTGTATTTTGAAATTTTATTTTTAATTAGTTCAAAGCATTTTATTCACTTGGAAAAGTGCACAAATGGTAAATTTGTGTAGTTTTTGTATCCAAATTGATTGTGACTCTAACATCATTCAATAATAATACTCCTCATGTCCCATAAAAATATCCCACATTTTCTTTTTCTCTTCGTTCCAAAAGGGGTTCCAACTTCCACTTCTGGAAAAGAATTATTGGCCCTTATAATTTCTATCTTTTCTGCATTATTTTCAAACATACTAATTCACTTTTCTTAATAATTGTGTCAATTCAAATTTAGCTTTATTATAGGACGATGAAAGTAATAATTACTAGTACTAATATTGTTATAACAACAACAACTAGGGATGGCAATAGGTCGGGTTCGGTTCGGATATACCTTTACCCGAAACCGACCCGAAATCTGAACGGATATTTTTTTTGGCCAGAATCCGAACCGTCGGGTATTAATTCCTACCCGAACCCGACTGCCTAAACCGAAACCCGAAATTGCAACCGAACCCGATAATTTAATAAATAAAAATCTATGCCTAACTCGACTTGAAAACCGACCGACCCGACTTATCTTACCAATGTCCTAATATATCAGTTTTTTGTATGATTTTTATTAAAATAATGATAAAATAATTAGCAACTGAAATTCGAATCAATGATGATACTTGTTAGAGGAGGAGATAGGTTGTGCTCTGTGTGGTCGCCGATGAAGAATCGCCGCTGTGCACCGTGGTCGCCGATGAATACTGTGCCGCTGTGGTCGCAGGTAGGAGGGCTATGGATACGAGAGTGAGAGTAGAGAGATTTCCGTTGATACCGAGTCTAAGAGATAAGGTTCGGATATTAAATTTTTCCTTTGATAGTTGATACCGAGATTCTGTGGATACGAGAGTGAGAGTAGGTTGACTTTTAATTGGAAAAAGTTTTTTTATTTCTTAAAAAGGTATTAATATTTCGGGTTGATTATTGGGTCGGTCGAGTACGGGTCGGTCAAATTTAATTACCGAAAACCGACCCGATAACAGTCGGGTTTGGTTTTAAAATCTTCGGGTCGGTTTCGGATATTAAATTTTTTGGTCGGATTCAGATATTATATATTTCGGTCGGGTCGGAAAAAGTCAGATTCAGATAAAATTGTCATCCCTAACAACAACAACAACAACAACAACAACAATAAAATGACAATCTAAATTTGAATCAGATTTAATCCATTATGATTGGAAGAGAACATCGTTATAAATTTTAATTTGAATCAGACTTGATCCATTGTCTTTTTGATATATAATTGTACTGTAAGATTATTTTAGTTTGGTTGAAACATCATTTTACTCCCACCGTCCCAGAGTATTTGTCCACTTTCATTTTTACACACCATCCAATACACTTCTTTAATCCATTTTATCTTGTAATTTGTATATTAAAAAATTATAGAAATTATATACTAATAATCTATATGTTAAGACAAATCAAACAAGATCACACATGACTATATTTAGGCTTACACATTGAGAGAATTTGATGAGTCAAAGTGCTTAGATGAACAGTTTCAAAAGTCAAACGTAGATGAATATAGCGGGACGGAGGGAGTATTATTTATGCTTACATTTTCTTTCAATTAGATTAATAAAAAGTATTACTTCATTTTCTCCTTATTTTTATCACATTGATTAGTGACATACAAATTAAGAAACGAAAAATTATATGATTAATATTAATTTTAAAATGTAAAGAAAATAAGAGTAGAACTCACAAAAAAATTAGTAATATGATTTCCGATAAAAAATAATTGTATATAGAGGTTTAAAAAAATTTAAAAATAGAGTATAAATTGTTGAAATAACTATTAAATTTATAAAATAAAATAATTATTTCAACACTTTTTATTTTTTTCAACCCTTTATAATTTTTTCAAACTCCTTCCAAATTATTAGAATTCTTTCTAATTTTTCAACCTCTTTTCAATATTTCCAACTTCTTCCAGTTTTTCCAACTATTTCCAATTGAGAAATGCTTGGTTCACAAACTCAAACTTCACAAACTTACTATTTGTGAACTTTAATAAAGAAAATTAAATAGTTTAAAATAATTTTAAAATGAGAATTCAAACCATAAATAGTAAGTTTGTGGAGTTTGTGATCATTCTGTTTGTAAACGTAGCATTGCTCTTTCCAATTTCTTCCAACTCCTAATTTTTCTCTTCTTCCAATTTCATCCAACATTTAACTTTGTTTTTACAACTGAAACGAAAAGAGCCTAATAGAAAAGTACTTAGAAGGTGTTATGGAGTGATTAA